TCATATGATAAGCTCCGCTCGACAAAGTCGACAGTGGAGCTAAAAAAAAAATTTTTTAGTTGTGGATTGTTGTGCACTTGTGAATTGGTTGTTATTCATTTGTTTTGTACTTGTGGATTATTACACACTGTAGATTGACAGTTGTTTTGTTTTGCACTTGTAGTTGTGTTCCTGGATCAATTGGAAACAATTTGTAATACTCACATGTTTTTCCACTGATGATTTCAGTGAGTAAAGCGCCTTTTTCATGAGTACTCATTTTAATCAGGTACTCAGCACCAGGAATCAGATTTGTTAGATTAAAGCTCAACTTTGTCTTAGAAGTAGGAGGTACAGTGACGTTTTGAAACAAGGAAGAATTGCCTCTTTTCTCACGATAGTATATGATGTATCCCTTTAAAAAAAAAAAATACAATTTGAAATCAGTAATTTTCAGTAATCCATTAGTTATCTGACTTGTTAAATAGTTAACAGTCAGTAGGATGAGTAGCCAGGAGTGATAATGACATTCAAAGAGAAAAAACAAAACGTACTAGTTTTTCTGGGAGATCCCTTGGCGACCACCAGGATACATTAATAACAGTAAAATTGATCCCAGTTGCCAGGACATGTCGTGGTCTGAGACGATCATCTGTATAAATTAAAAAAACAAATTTCATAATTAAAGTGACAATGCACAGCAAGTAAAGCAAACTAAGTTCTAGTGTTTATGCAACAAAAAACATATTGTTGGTTCCCTGGTTGTGTGATTGAAAGGAGGAAAGGGTTTTTATAACAAATCGGTCATGATTCTATTTGTATTAGTTTTTCAAGTTGAATCAACAAATATATTTCTATTTTGTTTTCCAGAGATATCTAGAATAAACACAGACAGATTCCAAGATGATATGAGTAATATTTTCCAATTTTTGTGTGTTGTTTTCCAAGTTTCTTTGAACATTTTGTACACGTTCAAAGGTAACATAACCTGCCTACAACACTGAATAAATGTTTGATAAAAAAATAAAAGGTGTTATGGTTGGCCTCAAACTGCACATTATGACTGTATACCAACACAGATCAATATCTCTCCATTCCACACGTTACCTAAGCAACCAGAGAACCCAAGGATTCTGCAATTCAGAGACAACATGAAAAGAAGCTCACCAAATTTAGTTCGTCCAAAAATAACTGGACTCTTCAGTCCTATCCCATTAGGTCCAACGACACCAACTCTGAAAAGATACTCAACTCCAGATTCTAGTTTGTTCACTACATAGGTCAGGTTTTTGGTGGTCAGTTTGGAAGTCTTTAAATCTTCGCTGTTTTTACCATAGTAAATACCATATAACTAGGTATGAAGATAAGTAGCATAATTATACATGTGACAGAGGGTTCATCCATTTTGTTTACAGTAATGTAGTTTGAACATAAACATAAATATGTCAGAGCTATGAATTCAGAAGCTGATGCTTGATTATGATGATTTTTTAAAAATGAAATGTTTGACATTCAGTTATCTTATATCTGATCGTCAAACGAGTACTTGTCCACATTGAGAGATATTGCTCAGCAATAATTAAAACAAAATGGCCACCAGTCAGCCATTTCGAATACATCTGTATATCTATGATGTATAATGAATATATAAAATTTAAACATAATCAGTCAAAGCATGATATACGGCTCTAGAACAGCCTTAATTAAAACAAAATGGCCGCCAGTCAGCCATATGGAATCCAACCTGAAAAGCAAAATGACGTGCA